TGCAACTCTACTGCTACTGCTTCTAATTGCCACCACCACCACCACCACCACCACCACCACCACCACCACCACCACCACCACCACCACCACCACCACCACCATTACATGATTATGATTCTGATTATTATGACCATGATTACGATGGTGACCGTCATTGCTGGGACCAGTTTCATTGACAGGAGTCCACGAAGAAACAACCAGGAGACCGCCACGAGGTCACCAGGAGCACCAGGAGACCACCAAGCACTGGCGCATTCAAACAACGCCTCCAATGCCTTGAATCAAGTACTGGTGGGATTCAGACACAGTTGAGAGCACGACGAAATACTGGCGGCTCGGGTACCATCGCGAAAACACTTTGCACCAAATGTTGGCACATTTCTGGCGCAGGCGACATATCATTCCCCCCAATCGTTTTCTCCAAGTACTGCCGCGCGATTCAGGGTTATCGTGGTCCATGTCGTATTATGCCTACAATGTATCCCGGCCCCGGACCGTGCGCAGCAGGCGAATCCCCGTAAATAATGGCTCAGCGAAGACAATGTGCCGCACCATAGCGGCTGACGTGCGCCGCGAGCATGTGCGCAAAATCGGACATGGGGACCAGCTGTGCAGCATCTGCTGTATATAGTAGGACGTACAGAGCTTCGTTTTGATTCCCGAAGCGGGACAACATTTATGTTTCATACGGTTTGATTCTTTATTTGATCCCGCGGGGCTAGATTTTTGTTGACCCTGGGTTTTTGTGGCTTCCGGCCTGTATTTGTCCCTTGTCGTTTTTCGTGCTTCGAGGTGTTAAAGGATTGGCTTTCGGGGCGTTGGTCCTTCCAGGATTGAGTGTTTAGAGATCCAGGATCTTTAGGGTTCGGTCTGTAGTAGGGGTTCAGATAGGTCGTGACGTAGCCATAACTGCAGGGGCCGCGTATGTGTTGCACACACCGGGTTACCGCTCTCAAGCCGTCGCATCCACGACTTCGACTTCTGCCGTGGAGCTGTTAACAAGGCACCTCGACAGCGCCAGGGTGCTTTTTGTTAAACCCCCCTACATTATGTAGCGAGTGTTCGCTCGGATGTTGTGCAGTGTCTGGCGCTTGCGATAAACTTAGAGATCGTACACAGACTCGCTCGGCAACATTTCAGCTCAGAGCCGCCATAAAAGAGATAACTGATGTCCTTCTTGTGCCTAGTCGCTTTTCAGAGAAGCTCTCTTGCAAAGTGCCTTGGTCAGGAGATCGACGTCGACACAGCGGTGACGATCGCCGAGTGTGTGCGTGATCGAAAGGAAAGTGCTAGGGCTGCTAGGGAATCCTGTGAAGTCAAACCAAGCCGCGAAAACCAAGAGGAAGCACGAACAAATTGAAAGCTCCTCCCTGCCCTTTTTGTCCGGGACCGACTACGAGAAATCATGCACCTTCAACAGTCTTCGTATAGAACCCTTCCAAACCCCATTCCACACATGTATGCCCTGCAAGAGTAGCGCAGGACATCCCAGAAGGAGTTACGATGATCTTCAACGAGCTTACGCAGTAATAGGTCCGGGCCATTGCATGGGGTCGGGACTCACACAGTTAAGCTACCATGACGGGATCTTTCTTCATCCGACAAGCTTTTAGACTACAACGACAAGCTGTCTTTACCTCGTCGCGGTAGCAGCGCGCCCTCGAGCAGGCAAACCTGAGATACCCCCTGCAAGCTTTAGCAGGCTCCGAGCCTCAACCTGCAGGTGCGGCTCTGGTGCTAGTGCTTCCGCGCCGCAGAGTGAGAGCGCATGAACAGTGGGCCCCTGGTCAGGGCTCAGAAAACAGTGTGTTCCAACTGCCCTGGCGCGAGGGCGGGAGCACCAGAGAAGCCATGAATCAGACAGTGAACCTTTGCTTCAAAAAGGATGAGTATGCTGCATACAATTTGATGCATATACCCCCTACATCAAAACAAATCCAGCTACAGTGCCCTCAGTCTTGTCGTAATCAGACACCTGCAAAGCTTGATTGCAATCATTCCCCCGGAATCGACATCCAAACTGGCCGCTGGTGCTCCCTGCTCATCCAATTCGGTAGCTCTATACATTTCATGTCACCGGGCCTCGCTGTCAAGCGGCGCGTGCCGGTGACACGAAGTGAGCTTAGCACAGGGTCCTCAGATTGGCTCTCCGATCCAGCCGTGGCCTTCTGCACGACTCACAGGTGCGGGAAAAGCCCTGGGACGTGAGGCTGCATGCTGCCACAGCTTGCTCGAGTCCTGCCTGCAAGCGTGTGAAGTGGAAGCAGAAGCAGAACATGCAGTCGCTCTTCTCTAACTACACCTGAGAGAAACAGTGACTTCTTGAGGCTAGCTGGCTCAGGCTGGAGTTGGAGTTGTTGCAAGCCATGTTTTTTGTTCCCTCATGCGCAGCTCTTTCATGCATATTCACGTAGCGTTCAATCTGAATCCCACAAATACTCGGAACAAACAATATTGAAGACGTCCGACGGCTGCCAGCATGCCAGCCGCCAGCATGTTCAAGTCTGAGGTCCGTTGAATAAGCCCCCTTAGCCTTGGCACTGGGGGGTTACTCATGTTTCTGTGCTGCCTTGAGTGCAAAGCCATGTTGTGCGGACTGCGAGGGCCGCTTGTTTTCCCAAGGACGAGGGGTTGGTTCCAGTGTCGACTCCATTAGAGTCTTAGGTCTATGGTATATAGGGCTGCAGCTTCGGGCTGGAGGAGCTTTTCCACATCAGGGTAGAGGGCGATAGCTTTGTTGAGCTGACGGCTTGAAAGGCTTAATGCGAAAGCAGGGTTTGGTGAAAGACCATGCTCGACGACCTCAAGCACTGCAGCTTTGCGTTGCAGGGAAGAACAAGCCAAGCCCACCAGAATAGTTGTAAAGGCCAGAGCTGATGGTTAAAGACCTTCTTCCGACACAGCGTGGCCGATCCTTACCACATCCTGAAATGCCTATGCATCAGAGGAACACCTGAAAGAACCTCATGCAGAGCACTCCTACATCTCTCTTGCAGCATTTCGACCTTCAGAGCTTTACACATTTCTTGTGAGGGCGTGGTGCAGTACTGGGGTTCCAGGATTCGCGTGTTGGGTTGTGCGTCTCTGGCCGTTTAGGGCGGCACAGAGGCGAAACAGGCAGTACCCACAGGAGCAGGTTTCGAAACCTCGGTGTGAAGCCAACTTTCCTCACGACCCTCTCCGCCCGGCGCGGCGTCTCTTGACATTGATCGAACAGTAAACTTGGATGTTCACACACACACAGACAAGGAACTAATCTGGCCTCGGGGTTGGTTTACGGAATAGCTAGAGTCATGGGCTTGGAGCTCGATGAACAGGGTGATGGAAGGGCAAAGTTTCCAGCTCAGTTCCTTTAAGTCCCAGACCTCCAACTTCTAAGCCCTAGCCCTTTCTCCATTACAAGGGGCATCTGCTGGTGCCGCTTACTTCGGACTCTGACTGTCTAGCCGTAGCCTAAACCCACAACGCCACTCAGAAAACAGGGTGGTCCAGGAGACCCTCCTTCGCAGACTCGAGAAGTTCAACATCTTTGACGGGCCCAAACCCAAACAGCTCTACCCCATTAGGGTTTAGGGTTTGGGGTTTATTTGGTTTAGGGGTTAGGGGTTTAGGGTTTAGGGTCCAAACCCTAGGAAGCAACCTTTTCTGCTTCAACCCGAGGCCCGGCCGATCCATATCCAGGCCGATGCCTTGCTGCGGCCGGGAGTCCGTTTTTAGGATTTCAATGCAGGCGGTATGCTTTGAAGCTTCGACGGGTTGATGCAGACCTTCGTGCCTTATAGCTTGTAGTAACTGTATGAAGTCGGGGATTCTGAGGAGACATCGGTACGTGCAGAGTGCTTAAGTTGACTACAATAAGGCTCGTACATTTTTGCTTCCCTAACTGTTTCGGTTTCCTTCTGCGCCTGCAGGGTTCAGGCAGGGGTACAGGTGTAGGAACTTGTCACTTTTACTGTCTATACGAGGAACTCTACTGGTTTTACGTACGATCCTTGTTAAGAGGACTGGCGCAAATCTCGCCGTCACCTTCAGAAATGCTGAGCTCTTCGCAGGAAAGCTGAGGTTGAGAAGCCCCGAGTAAACAACCCGAACCTTGCATACCCCATACCATGAAGCCCCCTAGCTCCAAACCCGAAAGGGCCATGCCACCAAAACCTTGCAACCCTAAAGCCCCAAACCCTACGCCTGTTGCCCTCAACTCTAAGCTTTGAGAAGTTTTGAAAGGGGTGGGGTGGGCTGGGGTAGGGTACCAAAAAGGCGTTAGGGGAATGATGGCCTCCTTTGCCAGCTTGTGGCTCAAGAGCATTAGCAACTCGTCTTGATGGGCTCTAAAACGCTGCTTTACCTCCCCACTCTTCAGTCTCTAATCAATCCTCTGCAAGATGTCCAACCCAAGCCCTCGAAATTCAGCCCTTAGCCCGGCTCTCGTCCGCCATGTTCGGTCGATCCAGACTGCCTTTAGAGATAGGTTCAGGCTATGACATCTACGCGTGTTGCTGAAGCTTAGAGTCCTATCGGAAAGCTAGTCACAAAAGCAAGCTAATTGTGAGCCTCCCCGTGGCGATGCAGCCGAACGCACGATGCATCGTTTTGCTGGCGTTGGCAACATGGGCAGCTGCAGGCCTTCTACATAAACCCTCTGAATTGTTACCGCTGTCTTGGGAACTGTTCTTGTGGATTTCATCGGCTTCCGGGCGGGGGTCGAAGCCAAAGACATGAATGTGATAATCTAGAACACACTTCTTCACTTCTTAGACTCTTAGACTGGAGGACACTGTTGTGGTTTGTATTTCTGTGCTCGGGGTCCAAGTCCTATGATCATAGGGCTCTAGGAGACTCGTTCTGCTTGAAAGCGAGATGGAAGGCAAGGTCGCAGTCCTATGGCCAGGGGTTAGGGCTTAAAGGCATTTTTGGAGATTGCGGATTCGGGCTTTGGGGCACTGCAACAATCGGGGGGTTTATGTGGGGGGTTTGTTGCGGCTGGACGTGGTGTAGTTGGTATGAGCGTTTGGGGGCCGTGGCCCAAGAGTCCTTCGACATATCCCTGCCGCCAAACTGATGTCGAGCCTCCTACAGCGGATCTCCTTAGCTCAGAGACCACCCTTACAGAATTCCTCGAAAGTGTAGCGAATGCAGACAACGTCTCGCTCGACGCGAGCTCCTCCAATGCCACTGCGGCAAATGTCACGCACCCGGGCGGGGAACTGATGCAAGGTGTGAACTACGGAGCAACTCATATCCCCTGTGCAGTCCCTGGCTGATGTACCCAAAATTATTTGTGTGTTCATTCCTCATGCCCACCAGTTTAGATTTAGTGCTTCCGGAGGCCGGAACTGTGAGAGTATCTGAAATTTTCTCGGGACCACAGTTTGGGATTGTTTGATGTCAGCCAGCCCACTTGCGACGTCCTTTAACCTCAAACCACAAACTCAACAGCCAGTACCCTCGACCTTCAGCCAAAATCAATATACGCATTCTTGGACTTGGATCAGATCCCCACTTTACGATGAACAGAGGTCGCGGTGGAGCATAATGGTCTTTGGCTTCGTGATTTGCTGTCAAGCTGCAAGGACCTACTGGGAAGTCAAAACCGATCCAGACACACAAACCTGTGCAGGAAGCACCAGTTTTTTTCGACTGGGATCCTGCTGTCCGGCCTCGTAAGATCTTGGCGGGTTTAGGATTTTCCTCGGGAGTTTGTGAAGGAAGAGCTAATACCACAGGACTATATGTTTGTTCGTATGTCTCTGTCTGCATTCGATAAGCCAAGGCGTGATACTCCAAGCTCAGAGTCCCAAGCTTGTGGTGCCTGGCACACGAAAGCCTGCAGCGTAAAGTTCTAAAGCCTTTCGTGTTGCCTTCCAAGGCAGCTCGCAGCTGAAGTCGAGGACACTCAAGAGGCCAGCGGAGTCAAAGCTCAGCCAGTTTCTTTGAGTTCCCCGGCATACGGAATTATTCAGGGTTTGCGATCTGATTCTTTGTCATGTACCTAAAAGGGCTTCAGGAGGCAAAGGGGGAAAGTTCAGGCGCTGCCGTGTAGGAGACGAGTGTTCCCGATGGTTACACAGGAACCAACCTTTGTGACTGAAGGGTTTGGGATTTAGGCAGCAGAGGTAGCTTATCGCCTTGCTTATTCGGCACTTGAAGCGAAGCGAATAATGATTGTCCATTGCAGTGGGTGACCCCTCCCCCCACGAAATTTGACTAACCCCGACATGTGTCCAAGTTAAGCCACATTGGGTACAGCACAGGACACAGTTCCAGCAAACTCCACATGCCATGTAAAGCCCACGACGGCCGCAAGGTTTGTTCAGCCAATAAGCTGTGCTTCTTGCAAGCGGAGTTTAGGATTCAGGGGTGCCGAAGCCCCGAAGCACTTGTGCGCAGGGCGCGAAGGCTGCAGAGCCGGCCACCGACGCGCCCGGGGAGCTCCTGACGAACAGCACTAAAGCCGATGTTGGAAACAGGCGACTCCGTCGCGGCATCCAAGCCGGGAGTGGGCCTACCTGGTAATTTTTTGGGTCCAATCAATCGAGAGTTTTCTGCAGATGCCTGGCATGAGAGTCGTATAGGAGGCTGAGAGGCCCTCGGAGCTGCAGATGGATCCAGTTCCCTCATGCATGTGCACGCTGATGACTTGTTATGGTTTGATCTGATTCGGTTATTTGGGGTGTCTACCAACCGAAGCACGAGGCTGAGCTTTCGGCTGGTTCATGGATGCGATTTGTGCGCACCCTTGCAATCACTTCGGTCTGAGTTCAGACTTGTTGGATCCTGACTGTATCGCTTGCAGGAGCAACACCACGCTGCGGGGCATGCTTCACGGACGCCATGGCCGCAAATTCTTGTGTCTCCCGTGAGCTTCGGGCACCTTACACCACCGAAGGGATGAAACAAAGGTCTGGAAAGAAGTACCTGCCCTGCGTCCGACAGAATTCAATCGGCAAAGATCTCAGTGTCAGTGGTAGTTGTAGCTTCAGAGTTGGCGAAAGGCCAAAGAGAGAGAGAGAGAGAGAGAGAGAGAGAGAGAGACTTCCTGGGACCCTAGTACGCAGTCGACACTGAAGCCAGAGACACGGCACAGTCGCGCCCTAGGCTCTCCAACCATTTTTTGTCAGAAACAGACCCGACATCGCAGCATTGGCCCAACTTTGCCGTTCTGTGGATCCAACTTCAAGCAGCATTCTGCGTGCCAGAACCCTGTGGCCGCCACGTGTCGAGGTTGCCGCCGACATTCCACAGCCCAAAGACCTCGAAACCCCCCGCCAACTCCGAGACTTCGAGCGTGCCTTTGAGCCGCTTTCAAGCAAGCTTCAATGAGCTGTAAGTAAACCTATGATCCGTGAAACACCAAACCCTTTAGCCCTAGATCCTTGAGTTGAACACTAACCCTCTTCGTCAGTGTCTGAGATTGAAGGAGATGTGGAGGCCGCCCCTATGCAGTCCGTGCTTCTGCTGCAGACAGCAGTCAAGCACAGCGGTTGGGTCGACTGGACCTAGAACCTAATTCAGCCTAATAGTAAACTCGATACTTAAGCTTCAAGGTCACAGGGGTTTCGAGCTGGTGTCCTTGGAAGTTGACTTGAATCATCACCGCCGCCCGGGCAAGTGTGTCCAGCAGTCGTATCCACTGCGTAGCTCACATCATGTCCTTGACTGCTGCGCATATCGAGCTTCAGCAGTGTGGTCAGCCAAGCTTGCAGCTAAGATGGCCTGGCTTCTTGTGTGGATCTGCTGCTGCTCTTTCTGCTGCTACAGCGCGTCACACCAGGACGAGGCGCGGCAGATTCCAGTCTTTACGGGGTCGGCCGGGTCGTGCCTTCGCTGAGGCCAATAGCAGCATCATCATTGCTTCAGGTCAGCGGACACATACATATGGAATCTGGAAGGATTTGCTTTTGCATACTGCTGATGGGAGAAGGCCTGCAAGTAAACTTAGGGCTCTCAAGCACTCTCCTGTGTTGCACGCGTAGGGTGTATCTTTACTTCGTCATGGCTGCCTAGCATGCCGGGCCCCTTCGTCGCATCCCAAAAAAGTGTGAAGTCCTGCTTTCGGCGTCATGATCAGATGCGCAACTCGGCATCTTGCCTGAAGTTTGTGGCATGCCCCAAGCTCTTGGATCTCAAGCGACCGAAGTGCACTGCACCTTCGACGCCGCCCCATAGATTCGGAACGGGCAGAACACGATTAAACTCAGACCCTCTAGACTGTAGGAGCCCCAGGCGAATTCTCGAAGCCCTTCGGAGCGTTCGATCAGACATGCAGCCCCGAGAGTCCTCAACGCTCAACTCGGAGTTCACCTCATGTTCTTTTTCTCAGCTTTGCATGTGCGAGGGACATGTCTGCAGCCACAGTTGTGTGTGCAATCGCCGGTGATTTGAGCCTGTGCCCTGTGGAGGTTCGCACGATGATCCTGCGGAGAATCTGTGCAGCATCCTTGTGTGTGAACCTGTGGGGCTTCCAGGAAACCCTCCGACTTAATCAGGGGTTTTGAGTGTTGAGTTGAGATTCGGACAGACTGAAAACGTAAGTTTCGGCGGTCTTCGGAGTTTTGTTAGGGCTCAGTGTGTAAGGACGTCGAAGACTGTGGCAAACAAAGGCTTAGGCTGCTCAGGCTGCTGATTATACATACGGCGGATTGATCTCTTGCAGCTTGACCAAGAGAAACATCACAACTCCGGGGCTTTGAGGCTTGAGGGTTGATTGTAAAGCCGGAATATTTGGGAATTTATGAGTGGTATTCCTCACGGCCTGAATTAGGCCTGCCCATAAAGCCTTAACCTAACTGTAAAGAGCCCTGCCGCCAAAGAAGTCTGTGCCATGTACCAGCTAACACCACGGATGCAGTGCTGGTGTAAACCCCTGTGCGTTTCCCTCCAACGTTTGGTTGACAGGCGAATAAGCTCTTTCAGCTGTGAGGCCAGATGCTTGCGAGTCTGGCCTGAAGACTACGTTGCCAAATTACGTGCGCGGAACGCTTCAATACTCTAACACACGCTTGAACATCAACAAGGCAACGAATCACTCCTGAAATTCTTGAGGATGCCCGAAACCATCGATTGGCTAAGGAGACCAGCGACAGAAAATGGCGGAAATTGTCGAAAAAGAGATGGTCACACGATCAGAGCAGACAGCGGCTGGCTTTAAATGTTGGTCTGGCTAGTCACATTATCGTCCTTACGTGCACCAAAACCCATTCACATCCGTCGATGCAACCATAAGGCCTGCGTATTCCTTACTTACTTCTTCATGGTTTCAGGATTTGACACAGCAGTATTGGAGTTAGGAAAACTGTTGCAGGCTTCGGGGTGTTTGGCGATTTGAGGCCTAGTTGCAAATTTGTCAAGTCTTTGAGGGAGTCTGGTAGCAAAACACAAGGCCTTCAGGATCCGCAAGCCGCTCAAGCATACATGGCTTTGTTTCAACACACTGGTTCGTTCATAAACAGGTTCCAGGTTCAGGAGTACGGTAAGGGTATTTGGCAACCCCTTAAAGTAATCTGTATATGGTCGCCTCGCAGTTGGTACAGTAACCCCATGGTCTCATGCCTTTCGGACCGATCTCGTTCGAGCTTGACAGCTGGGACATTCACTTACAAGAAAAACCTGTCGCTGAGCTTATATCCCCGACAATTGATCTGTGGTTTGCTGAAGTCCTTCGCATGCCTTCGCTATTAGCCTTTTTGGATTTTGAGGGCTCTGCAGTTGCCTGTGGCTTCGGTGCAGCGGAACCCTTAGCCTCTGGAGGCATCTCATGAGTCATTTACACACATAGATCCCGACGTCATTTTGGGCCTTGCAGCATCCGATGGAACAGGATTTGTACAAACACTCTCTGAGGTGGGGTCTGCAACATCTTTCGACGGGCTGCTTGGCAATAGCATGCAGCGTCCAGGATACAGGACAACAGGCTATGATGTTCTTTCGTTACCGCCGTAAAGTAGTGCCTGTTGTTATCGTATACTGTCGCTATGTCCTGGTATAACGGTATAATGTTTGTTCGGGTATGTTCACATGTCTGCTTGTTGTTATTGTTCGTGCGGCCACTGCCGCTTGTCGACTTGCTGTGAACATCAGATTTCACGAGTTCGCCAGCAACAGTCTAATGATCCGATACCAGCATCAGCGTCATTACAATCTCTTCAACTAGGGATATCATTTAGCTCAAAAAGCACTATTACCCGCAACAGCAGCATCAGCAACATCAACCAACAAGGCATCCGCAGCAGCAACAGCAAAAACAGCAGCAGCGCAGCAGCAGCAGCTGCAGCCGCAGCAACAGCCACAACAACAGCAATAACAACAGCGACGACACTATCAAACTCAACAACCACAACATCAACTACGACGACGACAACGACGACAACAACAAAAGCAGCAACAGCACCACCACCGACAACAGCAACAACAACATCATCAACAACAACAACAACAGCACCACCACCACCACCACCACCACCACCACCACCACCACCACCACCACCACCACCACCACCACCAGTAGCAATAGCAGCAGCAACAGCAACAGCAACAGCAACAACAACGACAACGACAACAGCAACAACAGCAGCAGGAGCAGCGACAACTGCGACAACGACACTAATAACTACTATCAACTCCAGCAAGAACAACAACTCGAACACCAGCAACACCAACACCACCACCAACAACACAAGCCACAACAAATATAACAACAACAACAACAACAACAACAACCACAACCACAACCACAACAACAACGACAACGACAACGACAACAACAACAACAACAACAACAACAACAGCAACAACAACAACAACAACACCACCAACAACAGCAGCAACAGCAGCAACAGCAGCAGCAGCAACAGCAACAAGAGCAACAACAACAACAACAAGAACAACAACAGCAACAGCAACAGCAGCAACAACAACAACAAAAAAAAAAAAGACACGAACAAGAACAACAACAGCAACAAGAACAACAACAACAACAACAAGAAGAAGAACAATAAGAACACCAACAGCAACAACCACAACAAGAATAACAACAACAACAACAACAACAACAACAACAACAACAACAACAACAACAACAACAACAACAACAACAACAACAACAACAACAACAACAACAGCAACAGCAACAACAGCAACAGCAACAGCAACAGCAACAACAACAACAACAGCAGCAGCAACAGCAACAACAGTAACATCAGCATCACCACCAACAAAAGCAACAGCAGCAGCAACAACAACAGTAACATCAACAGCAACATGAACAACTAATTGCAAGACCAACAACAACATAAAACAACAGCGCCATTATCAGCACAAAAAATCCACCACAAGCAGCAACAACAACAACATCGCCCATACCAGCAACAGCAACATCAACAGCAAGATCACCACCACCAACAGCAACAACAAAAGCACCAACACAGACGCCAACACCGCCGCCGCCACCCCCACCAGCATCAGCAGCACCAGCACCAGCACCACCACCAGCACCAGCACCAGCACCACCACCAGCCACCACCAGCCACCACCCACCACCCACCACCACCACCACCACCACCACCACCACCACCACCACCACCACCACCACCACCACCACCACCACCACCACCACGACCACCACCACCACCACCACCACTACCGCCAACAACAACAGCAACAAGAACAACATTGTTTGTATTGGACCCTGAGCAAGAACAACGACGACAACAGCACCAGCAACGGCAGCAGCAACAGCCGCATCAACAACAACAGCAACAACCAACAACCACAGCGACACCAACGGCAACAGCAGCTGCAGCATCAGCAGCACCAGCAGCACCAGAAGCAGCGGCAATAGCCACCACGACAACACCGGCAGCATTCTCGTTCTTTTGCTTTCAGTCTTCGCAAGCTCCGCCTTCTCGTTAGTCAGTCCCGATCATGAGCCCGGGTCAAGAAGAATCAGCCTGGGTTTGGCCGTCGGAGTCGGAGTAATTGTCCTAACCACGATCAGAGTGTTATCTTCAAGGGTACTGGCTGGTCACGATGTTTATCATCGCAAAATCTTTATCCACAGCAACAGGTGTATAGAAGCACAGTTGCAACGGTAACGGCTGCATTAACCATGGCTGATCAGCACCGATAGCACCATCAGCCTCAGACATCCCATGCGTACTGCATGAGTATGTAGAGCTGTGTAAGAATGAGCAGGGCACTAAGCGCAGGTAGGGCGTGTGAGCACATCGGCAGGTAATGTACAGGGCAACGACACGGATATGGGACTGGCTATCCATATCAACTGCGGCCGGTTCAGCATGAACGCATAAATCAACTGAAACGTACGTGCACGGTAATACATCGCAGCCAAACGAAACGCACTCGACACAGCGATTGCATTTTGAAGTCGCAACACACCTCAACAGTGAGTTTGCCAACGCTGAATTGAAAACCCTCTCCTATAACTAATAACTAATAATGAGAGTGCAGCATCTGAAGCCGCGGGTGTAAGGATTGAGGTTTTCGGGCCGAGGGCAAAGCTCGAGGGTAAGCCTCACGCTACCATGTATGTGTGTGTGTGTGTGTGCGCGCATATATAAGTACAAATAAGTGTATAAACATGTATGTGTGTATGTATATATATATACATGTGTATGTACATTTATATATAATTATATATATATATATATATATATATATTGTATATATATACATACATTTTATTTAATCATATATCTCTATTTCTCCGGCTTTGGCCTGCAATAGTGAATCCAGATCGCTTCTCCTATGATTGACTCAGGCTGCTCGCGCCTGGCTCCTACTCCAGCTACACACCGCCGCAACTCTGAGAGGGCCGTGTCCGGCCCTTCTATAGATTTTGTTTCTTTTAAGCCTTGAGGCATTATCATGCTAAGCATAAACCCTAAGCTACAAGAAGCTACCGCTTCCAAGTCTTACACATGGCACACCGCAGACGGTGTGTTTACAGGCCACTGCTCTTTACGCTAGTGACTTAGATTCCGTTGGAAGTGGTCGTTTATCAGATTCCGGAACCTGAAACTTGGCATTGTGCTTGCTGTCCTTGGTAGTCTATCGGTCCTCTTCGTCGTGTTGTGGTAGTTCGCATCTTTTGGCTTCGGACTTTTTGCAATTTGTCTTTATTCTTCTGCGTTTGTTGCTAGTATCGCAAAAGTTTTCTCCGGGACATTCCGCTCTCGGCTGGAAAGACTTGCGCTGCGCAAGTCGTGTGCAATATTTAGCTTTTGTTGCAGCGCCGCGTGGCCTGATGAAGTGCTGCTTAGCATGGTCCGGGTATGAATCGAAGATCATTGAATGGCAGTATTCGGATTTTGCAGTTCGTTTTGCACTTCTCCCGTCACCAGACGATGGTTTTCATGTCAGTACATATGGGTTAGGTTGTCTACTGGAGTTTTACAGGTGACTGAAGACATTCAGGCTGCGCGGCCAGCACTCCACTGTTGCACAAAAAACTTTCATGCTCTCTGGACCGAGGTCTTCAAACAGGCTTCCGGGCCCACCGATCCGGATACCCTCTCTTACTGCCGTTAAGGATAGGAGTGTGACGGCACGTGATTCAATGGCAGCGGATGGCCGATGCTGAACAAGTTCAGAGGCTAGATTTGCGAAGTCATCTCTCAACATATGAGCCCCGTACATTCAAGAATCCTCGGCACCCCAACGCTGAAACACAAGCCTTGCATAGACGAACAGACGGGCAGCGAGTTTTCTGTGCTCCCGACGTGGCTAGACGTGGCCACCGGCCAAGGCTCGGTCAAGTCCCAAGGACTTGGCTGGCTGTGAACAGTTTTGGCTCCAACTTATGCAGAAAAGGTATGAGGTGCACACTAGTTAATAGCCGAGAACCAAGGTTCGGCGACCTATGTTGGGGCGACTGGTACTAACTCTTCATTCTTGACGTATCTGGATATGTGGATGGGTGTGTTGCGGGCGTTGGCTTAGATGAGTATGTATAAACATATATATATATATATATATACATGTATAGAGGTACTACATAAAAGACATGCATAGAAATATAGATGGGAATGTGCGTACACGTAAGCATGCATGTGTACAGGCGCACAAGATGTTGTTATTGTATCCCATAGCCCCTGTTTCGGGGCAGGGAGCTACAACACAACGAGAGTGATATTCATGGTCATCGGGATACGACCTTCACTCGTAAGGAGCTTTTCCGGATCCCTGATCTGCCTTATAGGGGTTCAGGGTTTGATTCATACGGCTTGGTTGACGAGTCCAAGGCCAGGGAGAGTCCTGCTGTTTCTTAGAAGTTTCTGCCAGGCTGCTTCTGTTGTCAGGAGACGTTCGTGACTTGTGGCCTGCCCGCAGCTTTATTTCGGGGCAAACTTCCCATTGCCCTGTTCCTCCGTGCGACTCGACATAAAGATTGAACGGGGCGGGGGACCCGGGCGGTTCATTATACACACCCGAAGCCCAGACTTCAGCCAGAGTTCCAGTCTCGAAGTTTGGTTAGAAATGTTTGAGAGCAAGCTGCGTACAGGTCTTATACAACATATTTGCCTACACTATGACGGGTAGCATCCAAGCAACACACATGTGTTCATATCATTTGCACATGCGCCTGCATCTACATATACGTACTTCTATATATATATATATATATATATATAGATGTACATATACACACACACACACACATATACGCTTCCCCTTCAAAGTTCCCCTCCCATTTGGAGTGAATTCCATGACCGTTTAGACATAGCAGGTACTGTGTACAATCTACCAGAACTTGACGATGAACCGTAGTTGTTTTGCTATACAGTGCCTGCACAGCCCAGTTATGTACGTGCTGAAACGTGTGTGCGCTGTCTTTCGTACTAGCATCTATGACATGACAAATACATATCTGAAGTTTTTTGTGTGATAAAGTGCCGACAGTGGTAGTAATTGCATGTTAGTGCGCTAACCAGCCCACCTATTGTACGACCAAGGGATGTAGAGAAGAACGGTGTCCAACCGCGAATAGTGGTCCTTGCAAACAACAAGTATTCATGCCCGAGTCGTTAACTACTTTCGTCTTCAAGTTCATCATTACAGAGATCCTTAGATATGCTAAACCAGAACCCATCAGACCCCACCATTTGCCCAAGATTGCTGCCGGCACCGTGCCTCGCGTGTCGGACCTTTTTCGTCGTCCCTATTTCCATCTTACTTCGGTGGCCTTCACGTAGATTATGAAACGACTTTTTGCGCTAGCAGACCAACGTTCGAAGAACGAGTTCTGCGAATCATACTGCGTCTACATTTCCTGACAACTGACCCAATATGCTTTCAGGTTTATTGCGTATGTTGGCATCTTTCGTGAATTGGCATACTTCGTGACTGGAAGCGTTGATAGTTTGGTATGGCATCGGCCGGATGAGAAGCCTTGCTGCATGTACCACGGTTCAACAATGACAACAATCCGATGACAGCATATTTCGATGTCGTAGTGGCATAGATACTACCTAAACTCTCCCGAATCATCCGATTCACGTCCCAACCGTGTTCGGTTCGACCCGGATCCAAGATCTAAGAGTGCCCAGAGATTCTGACCCAAGAATCTTGGATTTTGGATCCGAGCTCCAAGCAACAACCATTGGGATGCTTCGGGTGTGCACTGGATCCACGTTGAATCTTGGACTCGGCCACGAATCACAGAATATTCGGATGTTTCGGGGAGCCGTGCAAACATCCAAATTTCGGAGCTCGAGATACCACATACACGGATAGATAGAGAGATGTCTCTATGTTTTTTAATCACGCGCGTAATTAAGTTTTTTTGATTGACCAAGGTAACTGAACCGACTTGCAAACGACGTCGCGGGCCAAGTGTGAGCACGAGCGGATAGGGTTTCAGTTTGCTGCTCTAGGAGCTTGTGTCCGACGGGGCTTGGCACTGTTGAATCATGTCTTCAAGTACGACTCCAAGCGTGCAGTTACGTGTTTGAGTCGGGTTCAGCTTTGGGCATGCAGTTCACAATTGGTTCCAGCTGTTCGATTTAGTTCCCCAGCCCCAGAAGCCTCAGAAGCTAAACCCCGCTGATACAGGGGTGTCCCTACGTAGCATGATTTCGACGTATGATCCACGCAAGTTGATATCACCATCGAGCCCCCACCCTGTGCCCCGGACCGAATCCGGGGCGTTCAACTGCTGCATCCTCGCCCCCGCGCAATGTCTTCGCAACCACACTCCCCGACCCCAGATCCTTTCCCTAGAACCCGAGCTTTACGCCGAACACGCAGTCGTCCACCCGAAAATGTCTTAAGGGCAATCCTCAACTCAGATGCTGGTTGATTCCTGCTGCTCCAGACCGCAAAGCCTCAGTCCTCTCCATGCAGCCTGCGGGTTCCGAGCAAAGCCACACAAAGTGGATGAAAAAAGTTTACAGCGTATATGATGTTAGAGGTTTTCGTATCAGATGCAGAAGGAGTAGCAGAAGCTGCAGAAGTGGCAAAGTAGGAGGAGGACCAGGACCAGGAGGAGGAGGAGGAGAAGGAGGAACGACCAAACAGCTCACTAGCAGGCAGCGAAACCACAAATCCAGTACCAGGTGTCGGCTGCAGGATTTGTAGAAGACTGTCAGCTGAGGTTAGCAGGATGCGCCTCGTCGTTGCTCGGCTGCCCCAGTGTGCCAAAGGAACCTGAAGCTTAAACTTGAGGTCCTGCTTCCGGAATAGGTGAGCCATGTTTCGAATGTGAAATCAACCTACCCGTCTGTGAACACTTCGCCAACTGGCACAAACTCCGAAGATTTCCCAACACTACAACACTACGAGCCGGGTACACTTTCTGCTTGGAAGGTTCGCAGTTTCAGGGTTACTGACGGCCTGCAGGATCAGTCTTCATGCCGAAACCAACTTTTCACCCCAACTCTTGAACCATAAGCTCAAACAGTTAACATCGTTAACACTTGAAGCGACAGTTTCAGATACGCACAGCGCCCTTCAACAAGACCCAAACTTGAGCCCAAACAGAGGCCATTCTGCTACTTTATCCATGTCTTGCAGAGCTCCAGTGCGTGTCCACAGATGCTGCTGGGCTTCGACTGTCGTGATCCGAGCTTGTGGGTGGGGGACTCCGAAGCCTAAAGGGCCTAAAGACTTGAGGGTATCAGGCCTCAAAATGTCAAATCTGGCTTAGCCTTTGTCCGCTCTGAGTAAATTTTAGGACGGAGCAGGAGTCCGGTCTGGGCGTTTGGCTCTGTGCCGTTTCTTGGTTGTCTAGTGGGGTTGTGGCGGTTAAAGTTGAAGAATTTCGCAGCTTTGTCGCTCCAAGACAGAAAGTAGGTCCTGCATGTCATGCGTCTGTCACCGGATATGTTTCGGCCATCAAATACATGTCGGTTTGGAATACGAATGTGTAGATGCCACATCCCTTATCTACGAACTAGTGGCAGCAGTACGACAAGGTACTGCTGCTTCTCAATGGTAAGTAGGTAGCGGTAGTGGTCGTGGTCGTGGTGGTGGTAGTAGTAGTACAGTAGTAGTAGTAGTCGTCGTCGTCGTGGTGGTGGTGGTGGTGGTGGAGTGGTAGTGGTACTAGTACTAGTACTAGCACTGCAGCAGTAGTGGTGGTGGTGGTGGTGGTGGTAGTCGTAGTAGTGGTGGTAGTAGTAGTAGTAGTAGCAATAGTAGAAGTAGCAGTAGTAGTAGCAGCAGCAGTGATGATAGTAGTGATGGTATTGAGCACGGCTATCACGACGATGACCTGGATACTGCTTCTCCTACTACTACCGGGGCGTGCCAATGGCACGTGGGACCTGTAAGAGGAGGCACTGCAGTCCCGCACAGGTGATGCTCTCAAGATTTACTGCGTTTGTCTGACTCACGTGTTAAGCAGAACTGCAGCAGAATTACCGCTTGAGGCTGACGACGACTACTACTACGACTACTACTACTACTACTACTGCTGCTACTACTGCTGCTGCTACTGCTACTGCTACTGCTACTGCTACTACTACTACTACTACTACTACTACTACTACTACTACTACTACTACTACTACTATTACTATTACTACTGCTACTACTGCTGCTACTACTGCTGCTGCTACTACTACTACTACGACTACGACTACTACTACTACTACTACTACTACTACTACTACCACCACTACGACGACGACGACGACTACTACTACTACTCCTACTGCTCCTGCTACTGTTACGCCTTTGCCCCTGCTACCGCTAATGATGCTGCTTCTGCTACTGCTACCGCTAGTGCCACTGATTCCTATTGTTCTTCTTCTTTTTCACAACGACCACGACGCAGTCTTACTTCCTAAAGCCTAAGCGTTAAGATCCCAAAGGTCGCACCCCGAAGCCTGATGCCTTGCAGCTCTTATGATTCAGTCTGACCCCCATAGTACCTTCGAACCCCAAGCGCTGAACTCAAGGACCTGAGCTGTGACCGCGAGGGCTCCGATGAGCTGTCTTTGTCGCAGTGGGGCCCGGGCTTCCTGCAGGAGACCTACCAGGCCCTTTCTCGCAGGATGGAGCTCTGAATTGTCAGTATATAACTATATCCCCTGATATTGAGTTCAGAGCCTCTGGCCTCTGAGGATCCCACTTCCCAGGCCCGAACTGCTGAATCCTGACATCCGCTCGCACCTCTAAGGGTGTGGACTTGGGCCGTAAATTCTGTGGTTCGGGGATTATGTGGGTGTTTTGGCTTGAAAATAGTTGGGGGCTTGGGTTGTGGGGTGTGACTTGGCGTGGGCCTAAATTTGGGGCCTGGGGTGCAAGGTGTTGGGGTGCGGATCTTTGACTTGGTGAGGTATGTAGGTGAGGATCAATGATTGGGATCACAATCGTCCAGTTTTTTCGCATGGGTTCGCATTTTTAAGATTTCGGGACACATGCGCCGTTGGTGACTCAGTGTAAAGAATACGTGTGTTGGATTATCTGTTTCAGAGGGTTTACATAGACATAGCCGAAAGCCCTCTTCCTCGAAGGTTACGATCCACACCCGAAGGAATACCACACACCAACTGCCATGAACACAAGAACCTTTACAAGACTCTAATCCGAACTCTAGACTATGGACCTTAAATCATTCTCGCCTTTGCACCCTAACCCCTCAACCCCAAACCACCGAAATCCAGAGACCGCATACCCCGAATCGTGAAACAAGCTCAAACCTTCACAGCGCCCAGACCCCTGGACCCATCCGGAAGCAGGTCCGAGAGAGAGAAGAAAGGCAGCTTTCCGTCAGCGTCGTCACCGCAACAAAGGTCCGAAGAGTGGGGGTGGAGGGAACAGTGGGGTTGCAGGGGGAGACCGAACCGGCTGCATTAGATTCGTGAGCGAATCATGGGGGCTTCCGTGTTTTCGGAAAATCCTTCTTCTGCCGAGGACATGCACGCCTAATGACTTGTAGGCCATTGCTGTGCGTAGGGCCGAGGGACAAAGTAGTTTGGGTTTATGCGGGAAGCGAAAAGAGGGTTTCGGACTCTCTGGAGCTGGCAAGCTGTTGTCAGATTTGCTGTTTTCCTCCTGTGGCCAGGCTTCGGCAGAGAAGCCTCTTTCATCAGCTGCCTTGGCTCTGTTAGCCTTCGTAAGAGCAGTTGCAGTTGCAGTACCGGCAATCATCATTGCCCCCCTCATCGTTGCTCCAGCATCACTGTTTCGTCCAGATTCCCCTGTCGTCTGGTTCGTCAAGTTCGGTCTACTCATGCCACCATCGTCATTTGCCTCCTCGCCACCATCAGCACGCCCGCCATCATTTTCTTCACCGGCATAGCACCTTCCCACACCTACCGTGCAGACTGATTTTGGAGCACAATGCACGCGTTTTCAAGTATTGACTTGCAGGTTGAGGAACTGTTGGTCAAGCATCTTACGGCTTCATTTGGTGGTGAACCTCGTCCCTGCTGGAAATGTGCTAATTCGCTTTGCGTCCGCTCCCCCTGATTATTTGATGAATAGATCTGAACCTGCACCAGCAAGGCTGCTCTAGACTACAAAATGTACCATCGGCAAGCATCTTAGCATCAACACCGGGCCTTTGGCCAGAGGCCGAGTGCACACACTCTCTGCAACAAGGCCATCCAAGGCGACACTTTATACGCGGGAAAGAGGGCAACTGCTTCTATTCTAAACCTGAGCCGTAGGTTCCACCTCATTCATTTCAATCACCACTGCTCGAATGCCCTGCACCAAATGCTTCAGCCCGCGGGGTTCTTGCTGAGCCCTTAAACTCTGCAGACGGAATCTGCAAAGTGTCACGGACTGATTCACTTGTTGCGTCAAACCTTCCAAGTTGAAGTAGAACGTCCACAGCAAGCCCGCAACCTCATGTTTGAAGCTGCAACCCCTTTAACTATAAAGCCCTCGCATAAGAGAATCATCAGAAGCCGGTGCCCCTGGAAGCCACCGGGATCCTTTTAATTTTTTTTTGCTTGTTGGCTCTTGAAGGTCATGGCGCCTCGGGCAAATCCAGGAGCATGAACAGCTTGCAAAGCCTTAACAGGGTGACAATTTGCGCGCTTTCGTTTGTAGTCCCTACCAAGGCTTCTTGGGAGCTCATCGACCGCGCCCTCTTCGGCACGCGCATCGTGCACTTCCCGTGGTGGGTCTATGCAGGAGTTCGTCTTTCAGGCTTTGCCAGTGTCAGGGAACTCGACTGTGACATGGCAGCGACTTCCATAGTAAAAGTAGGCAGCATTTGCCCACTGGCATGTCGCAAGGTTTTGACACATCAGCCTTGTACTGGAGTGCGACACGCAAGCCAAATTCAGATGCAGCAGGAGTCTTTGGATTCTTCGTCATCGTCTTTTTTCACGAAGTGTGACCTGGCGAGTAGCATGCTGTCCTTGCTCCATCCGTCTAAGGCTTTCGGTTCATGGGCATGTTTTTAGGTACCAGGGGGCTCTTTCAGCGTGTCATCCACAGCAGCAGTCAGATTCTGGTTTGTTGTCAGGAAGTATTATTGCCATTTGCCCGATTCCCCCGGTTGCGGATGTTTGATGGACTCCCGCACCTTTTCTGTCCTCCAAGGCACGTCTCCCGAGGCGGTGTTCCGATCTGCCAGCCGAAAAGACTGGAAAAGTCCATCGGATGTCAGCTGATGGGAAGCTCGCTCTGAAAGCTCTTTCTGCTTCGAGTTTTGTGGGACTCAAGTGAGAATCCATCGGTCTCCACAGCCGTCAAGCCGTCCTTGAAGTGAGAGGGGAGTGGCCCTGCCGTCCTCATGGCACGCATGGTGCGTTCTAAGCACGAAACCCCAAAGCAAAACCCTTGCCCTGAGCTAAGGCTTGTGGACAAATGCTTCTCCCTTTGTAGCCATGCTCCCTGTCCAGCAAAAAGTCGGGCTGGTGTTTGTGAGCTATTGCTATAGTTGCTGCGCTACAAGATGTTTCCTTCACAAGGGGCTAGTGCAAGCAACAAGCCTGCGGTTGTGTGCTTTGTTTGAGTCTGTTCACTCGATGCGGTCGAGTCTCCTTCTGAGTGTAATTGGTGCAGTTGTGGTCCCCAAAGTAGTTCCTTTTTGGGTGTCTCCTCTTTTTTGATTAGGGACTCTAATATACTACCCAAAAAGGAACTACTTTGGGGCCCCTGGGTAATCGCTTCTTTGATAGCCAGGGCCAGGCCACAGCTCCTTGGTTCTGGCTGTGTTGTGTCGGTGAAGTTCTCTCCCGCTGTCACATCGCTTGCTAGTTTCGCTTCGTCTAGCGCTAGTATGAGTATTAGGATTAGGATTCGTAGTAGTATTAATTAGTATTAGTGCTACGAGTTTGAGGCTCGGGTATCTACTCGTCACGTCTCACGTTTTGCGTCATGTTTACCACGGCTTCGTTTCTCTTTGAGGTCCATGCAGGTGCCCATCTCCTTGGACTTCGCCCTCTCCCTTCGCCAAGGATCGGGGTGGGGGGGCAAAGCTCAGGTCCCAGTCAAACGTGGAGGGTTTAGAGTTTGATAGAGTTTAGGCTTACCCTACTCGTCCATCCTGCTCGTTAAATGAGCAGGTTCCCAACCTGCTTAAAAATCACGCACGTTGCGCCAAAGCCTATTTTTAGGGTTCTTCAGCCGGGGCTCAATAAAGCTACAGAAGCAGCAGTGGCATTGCTCATTTTTCCCTTAGGGATTGTTTAGGGGCGGGCCAAGGAAGCTGAAGAAACAGCAATGGGACTGCTCATTTTTCATTTTTTCTTATGGGGGAGTTCACGGAAGCTGGAGAAACAGTTGGCCTCCTGCTCCACTGCTGGCTTGGCTTCATCCTTTTTTCTTGTCATCACCATTCTTCGGAGCTGCCTCCTCATAGGCAATTCCTGCCAACACATAGATATCATATTTATATTGTTGTATATTATAGCTCTATACTAGCATTTATAAATAGCTCCAGTTGAACAAATAAAACTTCTACATGTACACAAATCAATACATATTGATTCGTCGCGCCGTCCTTTCAGAGCTCTCTTTCGTAACTCTTCAGCAGCAGCCAAAGCTTGTTCAAGGCTGAAAACATCCACGGGCATGTCTAACCACAGCAGGGATCTAAAGGGACGGAGCACAATAAGCAGGGCCAGACCTAGAGATCAGCAGGTCGTTCTATGGTCGATAGTATGTGGGATCTGAGAACCGGTGAAGCTTGGAGCCACCCAAAATTCTCGCTAGATAAGAGAAAGGCTGCAGCCGGAAGGCACCAGGCTCAGGTCACTCTAGAGTCACGCTAGAGCCACGCTGGAGTCACGCTGCAGTCACGCTGGCTGGTCTCTTATTTATAAGCAGAGTCACGGAAGAATCACGCTAGAGTCACGCTGGAGTCACGCTAAAGTCACGCTCCCCAGGTCCTGGCCTAAACTCTGCTATTTGTATTAAAATATTGCAAAAGAGATTGCAAATGGAAGTCGGAATCGAAGGGCTCGGCGCATTTGATGGGAGAATCATGCCGAAAAGGAAGCACAAGAATCCTACATGGGATGGGTTCCAACCCTTGCCCCGAGTCCAAATTTGAGAAAGTTCTTACGAATCAATGTCGTCCAATGCAGAAAAGATCCATGCTCAAACGAGGTTTGCCTGGGTTTGCGCCCTTTCTCAGAGCGGCTGAAATCTGTTGCAAAGCCAGCTTGAAGCACTAGCCAGACATTAAACTAGAATCTACATCTGATGTAAACCGAGCTCGAACCTGTAGAATGATCGTAGAAAGCCCATCTCGAAGCTCCAATTGAAGCACTTGCTCTAAGCCAAAACCCATAATCCTGATAGTGACCCACTATATATCTCTTGTAAACCTCCTGTAAACCGTGCTTGAAGCATTAACGAAATCCTCGAAAAACCCATCTCGAAACTCTACTTGAAGCAATTTACACCCGATATGGAACACTATAATCTTAGCTGAGCCGGGCTTGAACCACAAGTGGATCGTCCAACAGTCTTCTTGAAACTCAGCCTGCAAGGGACATGTCTCCGACCAAAAAAAATAGATAGAGTGAATCGCGCAGGTTGCGTCAAAGATATAACAGGCGTGTTAAACGAGCCCGTTGACGTACAGGGTTAGGGTTTAGGGTTGGATGGAAGCTCAGTTGGTGCCGGTTGAAGAGACCTCTCTGCTTCTTTCTCCTGAAACCAGGGTGAAAGCCTTCAAGAACACCCCAGACCCCAAACCAGTCTTAGTTTTCGGTACATTCAAACTGCAGGAGCCACATCCTCGGGCTTCTTTCTCAGCTGTGGGGTGATCACCGGATTGCAGCTTGGAGCAGACTTGGTTCTAAAGTTTTTGAAGCCGCCAGACTCTACAGAGATCCGGGTGCTGACATCTTATGGGCTCAGGCTGCAGGCGGTTTTGGGCAGGCTTGACGCTAGATACAGCCTCAAACACCAGAGTTACAGCATGCTCTTTTTTGAAGAGCTGATCCGCCTCAAGATGTCCGGTTCCAGGGACCCAGAGGCGCCATATCCGACTCAACCAATCCTACCCGGACATGAAGATAGCATGAACGAGCCAGATACCCTTCCAAGGTGCGCGATGGCAGTGGTTGCCTCAGACGACTGGGGGCCACAACTCGCTAGCTTGCGTTGACGTTGTTCTCTCTGAAGCGGGCCATAGCGTGAAGAAGGTTCCCATGGTCATAAAAATATTGATGCCGTGTCACTCCAACCCTGAAGCCAAACCTTCCGATTCTAAGACAGCCCTTCATGCCTACATGTGTATGTATATAGATATATATATATATGCATGTATTCATGCATAATTAAAATAAATGAAAATACAAACATAAATATGTACATACATACATCCAACATACATACATACATACATACATACATACACACATACATATACATATACATATACATATACATATACATATACATATACATATACATATATTACACAAACATAAATACATACATCCCTCTCTCTACAATGCACCAGATATATAAACAATTATATTTATACACACACGCACACGTAGAAGTAGCTGCCCCCAGTCCCCCCAGCCTCGGAATCAGCACTGGACAGTTTCATCCTGCACCAACTTTCCCGCGACGCGACTTTGATCCAGACACACAGTCACAGGACCCCGAAACCCCAAACCTTAAACCTGACCTACCGCAACCAGGATTGCACTAGGCAACCTAACACTGATGGCAGGGCATTTAAGTTGTCAGGGGCTCACTGTTGATGTTTTGTCTTCCCTGTTTCACCCCGAAGCCGAGTCTTAAACAGGGTTGTCGGTGAAGCGTCTGCTCAGACAAACTACAGTCCGCAATGGGAATAAGCAGAAGATTCAATACGGGGATCAGAATTAGTGTTTGTGAACTTCTCTGCAGTAATGGCATGAGCTCACTGGAAACTGAGGCTGGAAAAAGACTCGTGGATGAAGAGAACTGGAATCAGTTCCTTGGGGCCCACAGACGTTTAGGGTTATCCGGGTTGAGGATCACATAGATACCTCATGAAGACAGGCCCCAGACAGCAAGTGCCATAATATGATGAGCCTGTAGTTCGGGATTGTGATCCTCGTGAGCGGATGCGGGAGGGGTTGTCCTGATCAGGGTTCCAAATGATCACTGTGAACGGTGTCGGCGCGGGTTGTAGGAGTCAGGGCATCAGGTTTGTCGGCCTTGTCTAGGGTGTAGGGTACCGGCCTTTTGGTTTGGGGGTAAGAGTTCAGCATTTCACTGAACCAGTTCTGATTTCGCCAAGCAGCTTAGTCCTCGAAGACGGTCAAGGCCTGTGCTGGATGTGTAGTTTTAGTCTTGGAGGGTTAGCCATGCCATGCATTGCGGCCAGCATCCGGAGGCGCACTTTTTTGGTTTCCTGAACAGAACTACGAATTTCTGAAGCTGCGAGCCTGAAGCTCAAGACCCACATCAGTTTAAGTACTGTTTACGTTAACCAAGACCCTAGTTAACATCGCGAAGCGAAGCCGAAGACCAACAAGAGATGTCTCTATCTCTCCGACCTTCAGGTTTTATGTGCGGCGTTTGCTGATCGTTATTCCTCTCATTGCGATGGGTCTTAGCTTTGCGTCCGCCATCTTCATTAACGAGACATCAGGCGCGGGTGAGAGAATCTGTTTCGGACCTATCGAGGGTATCCGAGCCTAGGTCGAGAGCGTTCACCGATTGTTCAAGAGGCACCGTGGCAGCGATAACTACTGTAAGATCACCAGGAACCCATACAAGACAGAACAACAACAGCCGCTAGTACCCCAAACCCTTAGCCTTGACTCGAATCCTGATGCTTGTGGCAGGCAGCGAGCAGGTGTATCTGATCTGGTGGGACGCTCAGGGGATTATGCAGGTCACGAACTGCATGACTGTGATCAGCACTCTGAATTTGATGAGACTTTCGCCACACCCTCGTCTCTCGACGCTTGCTGTAGTTGCATTGGATTGCCAAGTGTGTAAGGATGACATTTTGCCTCATAACTTCTTTCGTAACGACATAGCTTCATTCCTTCGGCTTCGGCAGTAGTGACTAGTACAATCTGAGTATTTTGCGTTTGCGGGTCTGACATACACCGGAAGTATTTATTTGAAGGAGGAAACTCAATATTTCTGAATATTCCGGCCCCTGTATGTGAGTTTGGGGTGCTTGCATAGTTCCGTATGTTTGGTTGCAGTTTCCATAGGCTTTTTGCAACGTCTTGAACATCTGCGATTGTCCTGGGTATTATTGAATTGTGGTGCTTTGTGGGACCTTTGCTTCGTTTGCAATAGCCAATGTGGTTTAGTATCTTTACAGCGGCCGTTCGCTCAACACTGGAACAATGACTTAGGCAACTGCCGTGAATGCAAATCCCGAGGCTCCAGAACTCCAGAGTAGTCGGGCAAAAAATCGAATCCGGACCACGCCCCAAAAAGCTCCCGACACCACCGCCGAGCCGAAAGGTGGGTGATGATTGGCTTCACAGTCGCAGGATCTTTCATTGGCCCCCTGTCCGTGATCCCGGGCATCATCTTCTGGACGAACCTGGCATGCATGGAATTCTGAACCCCGTGATCCCAAAACTCGTGACGGTCTCCGCAGACTACCAAACTTGCAAGTCTTCAACTCTCGTCTCCCAAGTCCAGAGACTAGAGGCCAAGGCTTCAAGCAAAGGGCACGGTGGCATGTATCGTAGTAGCTTGTGCGGCCCTCCGTCCGAACACCAGCTGAAGGGCCAAGGGTTCGCACTGAACCTCTGTCAGTGCTCTCAGGTGCCTACCGGAGCCTGCATCCCAAGCCGCAAGCCCCCTACCTGTGCTCGGGACATCTACTTGTAGCAACCTGAACCTGGACCATCCTAAAACCGTGACTGGTGGGAGAGGCAAACAACAAGTTACACTCAGGAAGATTACAAAGTCCAAAAATCGAACCTTCTGGATGCCACCTGGCTCAATGAGTTCCGGGTTCTTGGGTTTAGGGCCTGTTTCGGGTCTAGGTCTTCGGGTTCGGGTGGGGTCAGGATGGGATTTGGAAGTTTACCGACCCAGTCATCATGTCGTAGGCTTGTGGATGAAAGTTCGTTCAGGGACTCATCGGCCCCGCCCCAAATCCCCCAACTCCTGGGATTTTGGTGCGTAGAGCTCACAGTTCCCGCTAGGCCCCGATCACCCTGAAGCAGAGACACTGAACACAAAACTTGGGTGGAGTGCATTTCCCTAAAGCTTGACTTTTGGGGAATTCTAAGTGTGTTGCATGTCTGGGTGGGAGATGTTGACCCACATGTCCGGAACAGTAGGAGCTTAATGGCAAGGGTGTACAACAAGACAGAGTCCTTTGACATCACTGTTCAAGCCCAAGGTGTCCCCAGAGCCTTCAACCGGGCTAGCCCTTGGAGCCTGGACCCCACACGCTTCAATGCCTGTATTTGGCCCTCAGGCCCTGCAGCGCAATGCCCTGCGCCCTGAATCCGAAACCCCAGGATTCTGACGCAGTGCGCTCGAAACCTTGGCCTGGTAGTTGGGCCCGGTCTCTTTGCAATCCTGCGGACAGCTGTCACTGGTGGAGGTGACAGAGAAACCTGGCTGCACACAAGGGTCTGTCAGAGCCTATGTCGAAGTAGCTACGCACTGACAGTAAGGCCAAACAGCCCAGAAGCCTTGAAGCTGCAGGGGCCTGTTTACTTGTTCGAACCTGGGTTGAGATGATGGCTTCTTTCATTTTTGTGGTTGATCCTTTCGGCCACGTTTCAGGATCTGGCCTCGAGTTCTAGGATCCAATCACCGAAGAGAGCAGCCTACCCTGCGTGTCTGAATCTGCTGCGCTTGGACACTGCTGATGATCCTCCGGACTTCAGGTATTCCAACCCTTGTTTAAGCCCACGCCGCAGACCCCGGACTTGAGGTCTGTCCACGCAGCATGATGGGATGGGTGAACCTGCCACCTGGTGGCAGTGCATGGTGTGCTTTCCGCGGCATGTTTCCACATAGGGCGTTCCTATCGTCCATGAAGGCTACTGCATCAACAACATCAGCCGACGACCCTTTACAACTTTACACTTGCCAGTTTCTGAGAGTGTCGACTGTTTCGTACATGGGTTTTAAAGGTTGTTCGTCCTCAGATGATGGTTGTGTGGTGCTCTGCACAGGCAGTGGGCCTCAGAGACCGTAAGTCCCTCATCTGCCGTTCTGATATGAGCCCTTGACTACTTTTAGTTTCACACAGACAAGATGCACACTTGCAGTTTTAACTGCTTGGAACTCGATAGCGAACATATTCTTGCACCACAGCTTTTGCGTGTTGGCTTTCGTTGATCCGTTCTCTTGACCTTCTCGAAGCGGGTTTCGGCCGAACCCTGTACCATCAAGAAAAGACCCTTGCAGGGGGGAAGAAGCTGCAAGCAGCACCTGTTCTCCTAGCACCAACGGTCAGCATATATCAGCATACTAGTCTGGTTTCGTACGGGAAGTTCAGAAAAACACACACACACACACACACACACACACGCACACGCACACACACACACACACAGACACACACACACACACACCCGCGCACACACACACACACACACACACACACTGAACGTGGGTGCTGAAAGAGATGGAGGATCCTGCTCGTGTCAGATCCTCGCCAGATATAAATAAACATGAGTCGTGCAGAGCCCCTACAAGCACGACATATGGGTTGCGTTCTAAATTCGCGTGTGGGTGGAGTTATTTAAATTGACATTAATGCATTGAGGGGGTATCTTTTTTGCTCTTCGCTATGAGGCGGCACGCAAGTAGAGCCACTTATTACCGAAGTTGGCGCTAGGAAAACCGCTAGATTCGCGCTAGGCAGGAATCGAACCGCATGATGTCGTATGCTCAAGGTTTTACCAAAGCGCCCCAACCCGCAGGATCCGTAATGAAAACCTAAAGCCATGCATCTTCAAAACCCGAAGATTTCCGGAGCTGAACAGCACTCGTTGTTGTCGTAACAAGAGTACTCGTAGGTGTCTTCAGGAGTTCTCTGCCTCGCTGCCTTTGTGCCGCCTCATCCGAGCTTGCAGCGAGGTCATTTTTCAGGCATTTGTAAGAGAGGCCAGTGCGCTAGATCCGCGCTAGGTGGGCGCTAGCAAAAATTCAACGCAACCTGCCTTGGAAGACCCGGGCCCATTCAAGCTCGTCGGATTGCAGTTGCCGGACGCCTCCATTCCGACTTACAGCGTAACTTTCGAGTAACTTTCGCGTAACTTGCTCGTAACTCGTGCGCGCCGGGGGTTGCTCATTTATGCCGAGATCCGCAGTGGTGACTGCTCAGGGAGGCCTACGTTAGGCCCGTTAGGCCCGTTAGGCCCTTCCCGTCATCCTCCCCACATTGAATACAAGGGGCCTGGTTCGCACTCAGGACAAATAGGGTTGTTGAGCCACCGTGGATTCCACGGTGTTTGTAACAGCCACCCTGCTTTCCACGGGGGTCAGAGGTCAAGGGCAAGCAACACGTTACTGTCGAACCCGCGCCATGCTCGCAAGCAGCAGCAGCGGGACATCTTGCATTCCCGCCAAGAGTCCAGTAGCAGCAGCAGTAGCAGCAGCAGCGACAGTTCTTCGGACAGCAGCTGCTGAAAAGCCTGCGCGCTAGTACCCTTCTTAAGAATCCACGCATGCATTCCCAAACTCCTGCGTTTGCTGGTATGTATCTGTAAGCCAGGGTTTCTTTTGCCACATGAAGCGGCACGCAACTACAGCCACATTAACGTTAGTTTCGGGAATAAGCATTTTGACAACAACCCATATCCCACACCACGAATCGGAGTTATTCCTTCTCGCGAGCATTGTGCCGTTTACTCCTCTGACAGTTGTGTCAAAGCGCCAACCAAACCCTCTTCGACGGCTTCTTTCGATCAGGATGATGTGCCAGTAGCCGAGGCTTTCATACTGTCCAGATAAGCTTTACAAGCTTGGGGCCCCAGTTCAGGGCAGCTTCTATGAACAAAAAGAATAAAGGAATCCACTCCACTAAAAAACTTAAACTCCACAGGCCCCTGAGACCTCAGAATGCCCCGTTCTGACAAGAGCTCGGCGTAAACACAGATTATCAAGCGGAACTCTGCATCCCGACAAAGCCACGTTGAATACCACAGCAACAGAGCCGGCGAGCTGAGGACTCTACTGGTCTTCTCCCTGATCTCCGCCTCCTTCGGTGCCTTCGTCATGCCAGCAAGGCCGGTGGAAGGGCTCGAGGTTGGCTTTTAGGTTTGGGAGCTCTACTTAAGCGCTCGCGGGCTTTAGGGCTCTCAACTCATAGCTTTTGAACATCAGGGCGTAACTCATTGGTGCTTTTCGGTGTTTTTTGCAGAGGCTTGAACTTCAGGCCTCTACAGAAGGGAGGGCCGCAAGGGTTTCGGGTTGGGGGCCCGGAGCTTGGGGCTGCAGGAAGACTGAAGCTGGCACGAAGCATTTGGACATAAGAGGTTGATGATCTTGATGCTCGTTCGTTCGGGCGCATGCCCCAACTCTCCGTCCTGAATGTATAAACGGGCCACTATAGAAATACTCAAGTCATTCCACTGGCTCAGGATGCCTGACTATCCTTTGAACTTGGAGGAGGACGACGAGGCTTGGCGGTTCAGGGCCTGGGGCTTTACGAGCAAACTGTGGCTGCCTGTGGCGGTCTCGAAACTGTGAACTCATACATCCAAACCGCCAACTCTTATAAGCCTCAAGCTTTGCAAACAATCAGGCATGACCCTAAAGCCACAGCCCCCTAATCTACAGCCTCCACACCCGAAACCAACTCGAATGGATGAAACCTTAAACTCTAAGCCCCAGAGCCACCATCCCTTGGTCTTGGTCTAGAGGTACTGTACGGGTCTAGGAGGCTAGGATGCAACAATTTCTAAGGGCATGTGGCTGCGAGCGGCGCAAGACGGTGCGAACAAACATCGGGGTTGGGGATTTTAGTTTCAGGTGCAATATGGCGTGCTGCGACGATTCTGATTCTGCAATGCGCAGTCCTAAATCCACTTAAGTCACCTGGTGTTTGCAAGACAGGCGGCTAGAGCGCAACACACGAAGCTGCCACAACCCACGAAGCCATACCAAACAATTCTTAGCTCCTGGAGCCTCTGCAAACCTCGTCCTGTAAAAGTAGTAGTGAACCGGCAGTCATGGTACCAACGCTGGCGACGCGTTTTTTTTCGGGAGCAGGATGACTTTGTGATCTACTTGGTACTGTGTTGAACATGACGGTGCTAAAACCTATAAATACAGTGATTGTGTCATGCTCGTGGCCGGCTTATTTGCACTTTCTCAGGGTCATTCAACACGAGACCGTAGCAAAAAGACGAAATCCTGAAGCGTGAGCCTTGAACCACAATGCGCAAAACTCGGAACCGCCAGACTCACGCCAGAAAGCGTGACTTCTTTCCTCAGACGTCTTGAAAGTACCGGTGGCTAAGAAAATGTTGAACCCTCGCCTTGCTCTTCAGCCAGGACGATCCGGACGAGCTGGCACCTTTGCTTTCTTATGAGCAAAAAAGAACAAGAAGAATGCACTGATTCTTCGGTAGTTGGAACTTTATGGATCAATATTGCTTAAATGATGTTGGAACAAACCTCTTCCGGGTTTAGGTTGTCAAGGATTGTGACAGGCCTTGGAAATTACTCAACGGATTTATAGAATCGGAGTTGGTGTGTTCCTGGCTATAGTGTTTTGGCATTGGGTTGCCGTTGCTCTTAGGCATCCAGCTCTTGTGTCAGCATCATCTCAGACTACTTCTTGCATCCTAAAACCGGAAGGGGGGGTACCGCGCTAAGCATAAATCAACTGCGCCGAGGTCATGGTCTCTGATGCTCACCTCGAGGCGTTCGAAGAGATTCCACCGTGACCCCAAACGAGCATACCGAAGTCTCGCTCGTAGCTTTCGTGGATGCATTGCTTTCTTTCTTAAATCGTTTTGGATTCCCGGGTTTCCGGCTGCAGGGCGAGATCTGTTCGCGCTGTGGATCTTTGGGTTCAGGGTTAAAGCACTACGACCAGAACTATATAAGCCGAGGGGGTAGATTCTGATGTCCTGGCAGAGGCAGTCCAGGACTGCGGATGATGCAAACGGCAGCACCCCAAATACTAATTGAAGCATGATGAGTAATGATACCATCATCATCATCATCATCACTGTCTTCATTCTCGTAGCCCCATAAGGCTTGTCTTCTACGCAGCTAGGCCACTGTCTTGAGACTTGAGACTATGCAGGCCATGCCTGAGCCTGAGCGAGAACGGGTGGTATGGAATATGATTTGGTACGCCTTCGACCCTCGACTTAGCTGGAGCTGCATATAGTTGGCCTTGTGTGTTTGAATCAGGTTTCTTAGTTAGAAGTTCCTACTAAAAGGATCTTACGTTTTCGGGTTTACAGTTTTTCGGGCCCCATTTTGTTTCAAACTCTCATTATACTGCCGTCTGGACATTAGGTTTGTAGGCATACCTCTCGTAGTGGTATATAAGCAGCACATAACAGATGCGCCTGGAATGAGAATGACGAGCAAAATTCCCTTGCATCGTCTCCCGGGCAAACAGGCATCAATGGTCCAAGTTTGACGGCGCTACTTTTGAGCCGTT